AAAAAAAAAAAAAAAACAAGAAAGAAAGAAGAAAAGAAGAGGAAGAATATCCTGGTCCATTTCAGGAACTGAAAGTGGTTTTCAAGATACATGAATGCAAACCACTTGGAAGCCGGTAGTAGAATGAGAGACCAGAGAGCTGAGTAAGGGTCAGTCACTGCACAGCCTTATACTATTCTAAGGAATTTTTGGCACTAGGTCTCCCTATAAGATTAACTCTACTGTCCCAGGAGAGGCAAAGTCAATATACAAGGAGAAGAAATGAAACGAAGTGGGAATAAGTAGAGAGGTATATTGCTGAAACACTGATACAAAGGTTGTCTGAAAAGCAAAGCATATTCTTTCTTTCCCCACTTAGCTGACTCTCAAGGTAGGATGCTTTTGAGTAGGTAGTCAGTTATCCTTTTCTATGGATTGAACCTATTAAGCCAATAAGCCTCCAAACTTTGTACATGCTTAACAAATTTGGTTATGAAAATAAATTTTGAATTTTAGAAGTTGTACATGGGCCACCAAAATAAGTATTAATGCTCAGATTCTACCATCACTACATATAGACAACAACTCACAAGATATTTGTCACCTACAAGGACAAAATAGAGGTAGAGAGGAGACATACTCCCAGGCAAAAGAGAAAAAGTTGAAAGCTCTTCTGGAAAGGTTCCCTTTGTCTTAGAGTGGTAGGTAGTTACAGTATTATGTCGTGAGGGCAGTAACATAAGAAAGGTGACTTCTGGAAAGAATATGGTGAAGGACATTGTAAATATAAAATGTATAACTGTTAGAAATGAAATAGACAAATATTTGTATATATAGTACATACTAAATTTATGACAGAGTAACCTGTGATGGTAAGCAAAAATCAATGATATCTGTACAAACTTTAACTTTTAATTAGAGAGTCGTTTTGTTCTTTTCTACCCTGGTAAGATTGCACTGTTTTGTCTTCGATGTTTTTGTTTATGGAGATGGGGTTTTGCTGTTTTTGCCCAGGATGGAGAGCAATGGCATTATCTCGGCTCACTGCAACCTCCTCCTCCTGGGTTCAAGCAATTCTCCTGCCTCAACCTCCCAAGTAGCTGGGATTACCGGTATGCACCACCACACCCAGCTAATTTTTGTATTTTTAGTAGAGATGGGGTTTCACCATGTTGGCCAGGCTGGTCTTGAACTCCTGACCTTAGGTGATCCACATGCTTAGACCTCCCAAAGTGCTGGGATTACAGGCGTGAGCCACCATGCCAAGCCTGTCTCCAGTGTTTTAAACAGCTAGATACAATAGCAGATTGATGCAACATTCTACAGCATGGGAGGGCATATTCTCAGTTGATAATATCATAATATGTACCCTAAATATTTCTTTAGAGTATGTCATTAGCAAACTTCTTAGAATTTGTCTATGTCCATTTCTTTGTCACACCCCATCGCAGTTTTGAATGAGGCATGAAGGTCAGCAGCATTTGCCCTTGTGTCAGGCAGGCAATTTATGTCACGGCAAAGTGTTGTCCCAAGTAATGCTTTTGACACCCCATATTTATCATTCATTCATGGCTCGATATTGCAATCTTCCTTTCATTCATGTCTTTTCTTTGTGTTGCATTTTTATATTTATTGTCCTTCAGGTTTAAAAATTAATGATGCAATCAAACTTGATTATGAAAATAATGAAATTCTAGCTAAAACAGGTATATTTTCTGATGAGCAAGAAATAAAAAGGAAAGAAAAATGTAAAAGTAAGTATATACTACACCCAATCATCTCTAATGTCATTTCAGGACCTAAACTCCCAGGAGTCTGCATTTTTACTATCCATACATTAAATTGCAAATCTAACGGAGACTGGGGGAGAAGAGGATAGAAAACCAAATTTTGAGAAGAACGAGCAACACAGAGAAAAAAAATTATGCAGAAATGGCTTTGATGTTGGGACAGCAGATTGGAAAATGCTCACACAAACAGTGATGGAATGTGACAGAAGCTATCAAAACCCAAATCCACACAAACATTCCAATTGTGTCTCATCTGGACGAAGTTTTTTTTTTTTTTTTTTTTTTCTCCTAGTCTGAACTGCAATTATAAATAATGGGCTTCAAACACTCTCAGTCAGTGCCCAATGAGAAAGGCACGTTTATGCTTTCAAACATTTGGGCCATCTACTTGCTCATATGCTGTGGTTTGATGGCCAGGCTGCTTTCTGTGCCATGAAACCCTGGGCCAGGATGAAACTGGTAAAGATGATGCAGTGACAGGATGATAAACGAGGTTCACCACATCAACAGGTTGGGTGGCCCTCTTATACTTTTGGCAACAGAAACAGTTTTACCAACATGTCTGCTCTGAAACACATTCTTCTTTAGTGTTTCAAAATCAAGTAACCAACACCCAGAATCTGTAAGAGGACTAACAGGGACATCTCTTTTTAATTTACCATTAGATACCTGAGTTCAACATTCTTGCTTTAGAACGGGGCAATTTATAGGTAAGGATTTTGATTGTTGTAACGAACCAAATTCATCTTTTGAAAATTTCTAATTAAAAAGCCATTTAGGTACAAAAATTCTATTTAGTGAGGGTTCTTCATCTTAAAACAAGATTTTCCACGCTTCATTTAATAATTGAATTAATCCAGTGCATTAAAAATGCAATAAAATACACAGATTTTAACCAATATCCACATTTTAAAGGAACTAGTCTTAATAGAACCTGGGGACACTAACTTTTTAAAAAGTAATTTCAATCTGTGATCGTAGAACCTCTGAAGGGATGTTTATCTTTGAGCAGACATAAAGTAACAATCAAAAGCGTTTTAATTGTAGAGAGGCACCACCCTCTAAATATCAGACCTTTAAAATGGATTACAGGCTAAAATCACAAAATAGAAAATGACGACCAGTAAATTTGTCATGTGGTTTTTTTCGCTCTCCTAGATAGCTTTGTACAGTGTCATGCAAAATTTAATCAGCAATCTGAAACTAGATTAAATTTAATTTGAAATTTTATTTTAGTATAATTTCAATTTGAATACTTCTTTGGTCTTTCTTCATGCCCTTCTAAATAGTTTTAAATTCGTACTTTATATTTTACTTTCTTACTTTCTTTAGACACTAATGTTTATTTTCCATCAACCTTCTTGCCATGTTGCTTAAGAACCTATGGAAGGACAGCGTAAGACCACTCAGCAGTTCTTCCTACCCATTCGGTGGCCTGAGAAGTGGGAGCTGAAGACCAGTCATCTAGTGGCAGTCTGAGTGCTCCAGTTTTCAGCAGAGTCCTGCTGAATAAGCACAGAGGGCAGCTGCAGACCTTCAGACCAGTCTGCAACCTCAGTCTGAGTAGCAGCAAACACAGGAGCTGGAGAAGGCCATAGCTTTTTTAGTAGCACTGCTGTTTCTTTTTAATCTTTTCAGATTAAAATACTCTTAAGTTCATTGTATTAAATTGCAGTCCAGACCTCCCACGGATGTTCATGGGAGATGGTGCCATACTTGTGCAGAATTCTCCGGGCCACCATGGACTACATCAGTCCCACTGATTGAGTTCCTTTGTTTAATGGGATGGCAATGTACACATAGCATAGAGGAGAATCTGTGTAACACAGAGCAATATTAGGTAGGCTAACAAAAGATGCCTCTGTGAGAGGCTGGTGGTCAGCCCTGGGATTATCAACCACCAGAAGCTGTGGCTCCTGAAAGGGGGCCAGGATCTGGTTAGTGAACATCCCAAGAGTGAATCAGCCAGCAATAGGAGTAGCTCCGGTGGCAGCAGCAAACTTTGGCCCAGCCCACTGGCCAGTATTCCTGGAGGATATGACACTGATGTCAGTTTTACATGGCAACATTGACACGAGCAGCCAGCAGAAGCTTTTCTTGGGTCCTCTTTAGCCTTAGTATGTGGATGACATCACTTTTCCTTTTATAGATGTTCTGATCCATTTAGAAGTCAAGGTTGGTGCCGCCTAAGTGGGTTCCTGCTGTAAGAAACTTGAGAACATCCTCTTCCTTCATTTTCAGGACTTCATAGGTTCCAGACATTGTAAAAGTTTCCCTTTAAGTTACAACAGGAATCCAGAACCATATAATGGACACTTCTCAGGGTAACACAGAAAGCTCAGTTTTCCTTAGGAGAATGCTTAGGATAATCTTCGTGATTCTACTTACTCTTTCAGATTCCTTTAACAAAACTGTAGCACAGCACTCTAATAAAGCCATGATTCTGCTATCTTAGTTTGTTCATAATCACTCCTGAACACAAAGTTATAAATTTTGCTTCACAAGGCCCTGCCTGTATGCAGAATGTTTTACATAATAAATATTCCACAGAAGTCAAAAGTCAACACTTTAAGTGTCATTAGTCTAATAATAATTTTTGAAATTAATTCCAAATGTCTTGTACTCTTAAGTTCATCATATTAAGTTGCAGTCCAGGTAGCAGTTAAATCAACCTCACAGGAATAGTGAGCATCACAATCAATTTTCTCCTCTTTCAGTGTCTCTTGTTTTATCTGTGGGTGTATTTGTGGTGGTTGGGCATGTGTGCACATGTGCATGTGTGTCTGCAAACATGCATGACTGTACATGCATGTATTTATCATTTCTTTTTGTTGTCACCCATGTTCTGATTTCTGCTTTGCTTCTTCATTGCTCCCTTAAATTGTCCCCAGGCCTTCCACATTTATGAAGGGAAAATTTAATCTTTTAGATCAGACTTAAACAGAACGCCTCATTCTTTCCTCCAAAAATCTGAGTTTTGTCTTTTTGTTGAGGGTTAAGGACCTTCACTGTCACCAAGAAGTACTTCCTCAAAAAAATTTGATTTCCAAAAACTGAATGGTAGAAGAGTTATCAATGCTTCTACCAGGTGCCAGGTGCTTTACATATATAGGCCATGTCTTTAATATCACAACTTTCCTAGGAAGATATTATTAGCACCATTACCTGTGAGTAAACAAATCTAAAGAGATCCAGTAACCTGACCCTGTCTTATTGACAATACAAGAAGAATGCAATATAGAACTAGATTTCTGACAAGAACATCCATATTCTGCAGCTGCATCACAGTATATCAAGCTTCTAGAAAGCCAAATTTTAGACCATTAACATTTTATTCTGTAACCATTTCTATTTTTCACAAAATCCATAAGATTTATATTATTCTATCATCTTAGATGTTAATGTCACTGTACAAATGATCAGCAATATATATGAACTACATTTAATTTATTGTAGAATATTCTTAATAGGAAAGAAGTTTTGGCAATAATCTTCAAAAATTAAAGTAATCTATTTATTATTAATATATCATATCAGAGTAGGTTTTAGTATATTTAGCATAATAATATTTGTAGAAATTTCCTATTTGTAGAAAATGACTCTATTAGAACATTTCTCAAACTGTGTTCAGAGGAATAGTAGCTCTACAAAATGTTACTTGATGTTCCAAATTATGGGATCTATGATATTAAAAGTTAAAGAACACCACACTATAATTCCCATATTAGACATTTCAAAGTAAATACTAAAGGTTCTGAAAAGTCCCAGGTTGGAGATAGGGATACAGGGTTTCTCTGGGTTGATATTTCCACATGAGTTTCTAAAGCATATATCTATCAGTTTATAGAGCTAGAATATAATTCAATCAGAGATTTATAGACAAACAGCTTGGTGATGTTGATAAAAAAATATTTTTACACTTTCACTTTTAAATCAGTAGATACATAAAAAGTAAAAGTGAGTTCTTTTAAAATATAGTTAATGACAATTACCCATTACTAAATGGGTAATTATCATGTTTAAAAAGACATTATTATGAAAGTTAATTCATTTGGGAAAACATAGTGTTTGACTCACGGCAAAATCTAAACTATAGATGTATCAACTAAGTGAGAAAATGTTCTGCTTATTATTTTATATTTTATTTTCTATTTTATTTTCATTATTTTTTGAGACGAAGTCTCACTGTGTCGCCCAGGCTGGAGTGCAGTGGCATGATCTCAGCTCACTGCAACCTCTGCCTCACGGGTTCAAGCAATTCTCCTGCCTCAGCATCCCTAGTAGCTGGAACTATAGACATGTGCCACCACCCCCAGCTAATTGTACTTTTAGTAGAGATGGGATTTTACCATGTTGGCCATGCTGGTCCTGAACTCCTGACCTCAGGTGGTACGCCTGCCTCAGCCTCCCAAAGTACTGGGATTACAGGTATAAGCCACCAAGCCCAGACTACATTTTCCATTTTAACACATTTAGCCTTTCCTCAAATCTTGATCCTTAATTTTCCACAGATGGGCAAGAATATTCAATCTTGCCATTATTTCTTATATTCTTTACTTAGTATTTTGACACAGTTGCGTTTTCCATTTTAACACATTTAGCCTTTCCTCAAATCTTAATCCTTAATTTTCCACAGTTGGGCAAGGATATTCAATTTTGCCATTATTTCTTACATTCTTTAGCTGTATTTTGACTCAATTACATTTTCCATTTTAACACATTTAGCATTTCCTCAAATCTTAATCCCTAATTTTCCATACTTGGGCAAGGACATTCAATATTGCCATTAATTCTTATATTCTGTACATAGTACATTGACACAGTACACTTTATTTCTGTAGATTTTCCCCCCTCAGTGTGAAAAATATAGATTAAAATATCTACATTTTAACACAGATTAAATATATAATATTTAGTATGTCCAAATATAAATATAGTACAAATTTATACTTCCAAATATAAATATAGTAAATATAGTACTTCCAAAGCCTACACAATCTGTTTTTATTTTTAGTTATATTTTAATATATATTTTATTCCAAGGTTCACATGCATCATAGGATAACTGTGTGTTGGCTTATGGCTGTAATTCCAGCACTTTGGGAGACCAAAGGGAGCGGATCACAAGGTCAAGAGATCAAGAACATCCTGGCTAACATGGTAAAACCGCAGTTCTACTAAAAATACAAAAAAAAATTAGTCGGGTGTGGTGGCATGTGCCTGTAGGCCCAGCTACTAGGAGGCTGAAGCCGGGGACTCACTTGAACTTGGGAGGCAAAGGTTGCAGTGAGCTGAGATCGCGCCACTGCACTCCAGCCTGGGTGACACTGCACTTCAGCCTGGGTGACAGAGCAAGATTTTGTCTCAAAAAAAAAGAAAGAAAGAATCAACAGCATTATTTGCAGAGCTAGAGGAGTTAACTGCTGAATTTATGAGTGTATATTACTACAACCTACAAAGTGTCAATGGCAATACTAAGTAACAGGAAAAATATATTGTAAGTATTAAACAATACATAGAAAACACTTAAAAAGAAAATCAATTTCCTCTTTATATTGTTTTTTTTTTAGAAATCTTTTCTGCTCTAAGATGCTACCTAAAAGTGTGTTGTTTCCAGGTAGATTGTGTTAGTGACTCGTTCTCTTTAAGACTACAGAAGAACTAGACCATGGTATAATTAAACAGAAGACCTTAAGTAAGGACTGTGGTAGGTGGGGCCTTTTAGATTTGAAATTGTGGAAAACTAACTGTGAACTGAGTAAGTATGGATCTTAGATCAGGGGCACCCAGTCCCTGTACTTTGGAGAGTTCTCTCTCCCTCCTCTAGCTCACTCCTACTCATGTGGCAAGGACTCCATGAGGCCAAGGGAAGGCCGTAATTACCTACTGATATTATAATCTATCTGGAATCCATACCTACCCAGGACTCTAGACATTCCTCTCGGGGCCTTCCGCCAGTGTCTGTGAGAGTTCATTCCATGGCTTTTTCCTCTTTGCAATGAATTGAGCCACCTATGTGGGTATTTTTGGGTCTGAGGAGTAGCATGCCCCCGTAGCAGGCTGGGGCATTCACACGTTTGTTTGAAGCTCTCAAGATGCTAACAGGCTCGGGTGAAAAAAAAATCTGGGGTTAGACACAGGGCAGGTGTCAGGTGCTGGTTCTCCTATACCACTGATTTTTTTGCTGCAGAATTTTAAGGAGTCAGATGATTCTCAATTCAAACCTGGCTCTCTGGACCATTAAGAAGATATTTTTGTCAAGGTAGAAGGATGGCATATACTTTTAATGGCCTGTCAGATCAATTCATGGGTTAAATAGTTAATGTAAAACTAAGAATCTCCATTTATATTCTTGTTCTAGCCTCAAAGACATAATGACTGGGAATGCTCTATCACATCACCCTTCACTAATGGAAACAGACATATTGTATGCTTTGAATCATTTCAGGGTAATCTGGAGTGTAGTTGGACTGGCAAAGTGGCCTGGAGGTTGAACAGTAAGGACCCTATAACAATCGAAGCCATGATTCAGGGAGCCTAGGGCACCATCATGAACCACAAAGAACTTGGGTAGTCAAGAAGGGACCACCTGTCTCTACTGGAGGCACAATAAAGGCTATTCTGGACTCAAAGAGTTTAGAAGCTCAGCCATTATGATCAACAAAGAGGACAGCGACTACAGGAATATAGGAGAAAAAAAAAACAACAACATTGAGTCCACATTTGCCACAGGGCATCACAATGCAGGGATCTTATCTCAGCACGAAGAGGTTAGGAAATCAGCCCTTCCCTCAGATGCCACTTTAGGGTGAATAGGCAGAGAGGTACTGGTTGACAGACAGGATTTTTAATTGAGAGAGTCAGCACTGCCTAAAGGGATACTTTAATCTATAGCATTATAGACTAATGTAAGATTAAAAGTAAATAGACCCAAATAAAGTATGATATTCTAATACTCATCACATAAGAAAGACGAAATGTTAAAGAAAAAATAAATTACATTTTATATATTTGAAGCGAAGGATAAACAATTTTGTGGCACCACTACTTATGGACATATTTGTGTTTATGTAACACTGTATATATTTAAAAAGCTGCTGGCAGTTTTATGATCTTTTACCTATACTTCCTTCCATCCTAAAAACCTCAGAAACCTTTTCTTCAACTATCTCTTCTGGATTTCATTGATGTTAAAAAACTATACACATTTAAATTTTGAAAGCATCATAATTCAGCCTAAATAAATCACATAAAATATAAATAGTAGTCAGTAACTTTTCAAGGATTTGGTGTTTACCATATGTCAGATGCCAGGCTTGGCATAGGAATCTCAGAGATGAATCAGTCATGGAAATGCTCTGCAAAGAACTCAGAAGGGAATGCATATATAGAAATAGGATGCTGTAGTGGCATAAGGAATAACTGGTCATTTATCCCTCAGAGGAATGTGAGTAATTTCCAAATGCAGCTGACACTGGTGCAGAGTAGCAATTTCACTAGGTGACCCTGTCTGGGTAAGGCTATTCCAGATAGAGGAAATAAATTAATAAAAAATATAGGCCAGGTGCAGCTGCTATCACCTATAATCCCAGCACTCTGGGAGGCTGAGACAGGTAGATCGCCGGAGCTTAGAAGTTTGAGATTAGCTTGGGCAACGTGACAAAATGTCTACTCTATGAAAAATACAAACCAATTAGCTGGGTGTGGTGGTGAGTGCCTATAGTCATGGCTTCTTGAGAGTCTAAGATGGGAGGGTCGCTTGAGTCTGGGTGGCAGAGGTTGCAGTGAGCTAAGATCACACCACTGCACTACAGCCTGGGCAACAGAGTAAAACTCTGTCTCAAAAAAAAAAAAAAAATAGGTTATCACACACATATATATATGAGTGAGACAATCTATTTTGGTTTAGAATTCTGTATTAAATATTAAATAAACTATTAAATATGGTCGGGTTCTGTAATTGCTCTTGAAGAGGTGGATAGGCTTCATATCATGCAGGGCCTTGTGTGTCATTACAAGGAATTTGGATTCGACCTTGTAGGCAATGGGAAATCAGGAAAAGATTAAACTGTAGGAGTTCACATAACCAATTTGATACTGTAATGATCACTTTTCTGCAGCAGATTTATTAATTGGAGAAAGGCAAGCGTTTAAAGGGAACATGTAGAAGGGCAGTAGGCTAGGTAAAAGATAAACGGAGGCTGAATTAAGGTGGAAGCACAATAGTAATTCCAGGGGAAGGGATCCAACACGTGGCAAGGAGGTGGATTGATGGAACTGGAATATGGTTCATAGGTAAAGGACCAACAAAGGGAAGCATGGAGGAATTCTATACCTCTGTCCCGTGTGACTGGTAAGTGACAGTATCATTCACAGAAGTTTGGAAAGCAGAAGATACAAGTTAGTAAGGAATAATAGGGGTTCAACTTTGAACATGTTAGGCTTGAGACACCTGTGGATTGTTGAAATCCCAATTCTTTGGTTAAAAAAACTAGTGAATTAAAGCAAGGTGTTAAAGGCTTAAAGTACTATTCAATTTCTCTAAATTTTAATGGAATAAAAGACACTCCAAAGGTCCACAGGACAGGGCATTTATTAAATAATGCCTTTAGTTTATGTGGGTGGAAGAAACAGAGACAGAGAGAAACAGCAAGCCTGGAATTAACTCTATACTCAGTAATTATTCCACAACCAGAACATCAGAGGAAAGGGGAAATAATCTCTAACTGCATAAATATATATAAGCAAATATCCTTTATAATACTTCTACCAGCAGTACTGATGCATATTATTGTCTATTATACAATGAGAGAGAAAATAAACCATTTTTATTTATTTTTCCATCCTTATTGAGGTATAATTGGAAAACAATGTATTTATTTTTTTATGATGTACAACATGTTTTGATGTGCCTGTATATTTCGAAATGATTACTACAATCAAGCTGATTAGCACATCTATTACTTCACATAGTTACCAGTTTTTGTTTGTGAGTGTGGTGAAAACATTTAAAATCTACCTTTTTTGCAATATTTCAGTATTAAATATGATATTGGTTAATTATAGTCATCATGCTGTATGAAAGACCTCCAGAACTTATTCATCCTACGTTACTGAAACTGTACCTTTTGACCAACATCAACTTACTTTGAGTAAAATTTTCATGTAATAAAATTTTCTCATTTTAACAGCATTTAATGGAAAATTTAATAGATTTAGACAAATACATACAAGCATGTAACCACTATCACCATCAAAACATAGAACATCTCTGTCATTCCAAAGAATGCCCTTTTAGTCACTAGGTTTTAATTTTACTGAAAAAAAAAATTATCAAATCATTTAAGACTATTTTGGGCATTTGAGATGACAAGATATTAGTATAAACTTGTTTTAGTCTTCTTTGTATTCTCTTAACATAGAAGCCACAGAGAAGCTAATAAATACAAATTTTTGAATTCATGAACACATCCCTATTGGATTTAATTTATTCTTATCTTTGAGACATATCTGCAGAATACACTATAGTCAATCCCCCATAACCCTGAAATTTAATGAGAAATTGTCACTTTCCTGACTCATTATGAGAAACAGGTCCCTGTTGTCATATGGAATAATTAATCTCATATGCAAAATACACTTTGGGTAGGCCAGGCAATATGTCCTGATCAGATTCATTTGATAGTACTCTAGTTGCTCAGCATACACAGCAACTCTTCCCTCTTCTCGTTCTCA